GTGTGTGTGTGTGTGTGTGTGTGTGTGTGTGTGTGTGTGTGTGTGTGTACTGTACGTCTCAAAGTTAATCTTTTCTGAATAAAGTTGCAGCACAGGTTCTTGTCGTTGTGCCTCATTAGGACGTTGAGGGTGGACATGTTGATGAGGGCAGATTGTACAGATGGGTTCACACAGCTGCTCCACTGACTGCTGCTCGTCTCTGTGGACGGGAAAGAAAACTGACATCTTTTGTTGTTGTTGTTGTTGTTGTTGCTTTAACTTGTTTCTACTGCGGCTCTATTCAGATATTTTCTGTTCGTAAGTAAAATGCCACAGAGGAAATAAAAAACAGTTCAAGTTACTGACTTGTTTAGGACCGCTGCACAGATTTACTGGAACATTTTGAAGCAGAAATGCTGAATATGTTTGTAGAGGAGCATATTGCTTTAAACAGATAACATGCAGATCAAGAATGAAAGCTTTCTGCAGCATTTCCTCCCAGTTTGTGCTCTGTGTCATGGAGAAGTGATTATAAATGCCAAACATTCCCAGTGACTCCCCTCAGATCTGACTCTCCACTGTGGATGAAAGACTCTTGTCTTTTTTAAATAAATATTTAAAGATTAAACCCTTCTTTTCACTCTCCATTTGGAGTCACAATGCCCTCGACACAGAACAAACCTATTTCTATCCTTGAAACATGCCTTTTTTCCAGCTGCAAGACAGCTAAAAGAGCTTCTTTTTTTTTCTAGTGTCACGTTTTTCTGTATTTTTCTAAATCCTCTCCTCTGCTTTAGGATCTGGGTTTGGAGGGCACCTCGCTGAACGACATCTTGTACAAAAATGCTGCTTTCCTCAATCTGGTGGATCCGATCTCACACGAGCTGCTGCTCAGCTTGGCTCGAGAGATGCAGTGTCTTAAGAAGGTCAGTAATTCCCCAGACAGAATACACGCAAACATCGGACATGCATGCACTCTAGAAACCAAATCTTTCTGTAAATGAAAATAGGCAGCTCATATCACCTGCTGCCTTTTTTAAAACTCTAWTCGCTTTATGTGTAGCCATTTTAGTCAAACCTTAAAATGAACCTTATGTGGTCTCATGTGGTACTGAGTGATATTTCAGATCAGATTTGCTGGGAACGACTCTCAGCTACTACCACAACAAATTTGAGTTCAACTTCTGTAAAATTGACTGAGTAATAGCCTTTTTTGTGTTGACTAGTTTTGATCAGCTGTGGCTGCCATMTTGAATTGGGCTGACTCCATATGGTGAWGAGTTTTAGATGTACAGCCAGTTACTAATTTCTGACAGTTTCACTAATAATTGTCCATGGGTTCAGGAGATATTCTTCTAACAGACACAGAGTTGACTCCAAATAGCTCATAGCAACATTTTGAAAACGTGTTTGCTGCCATCTGTTTATGCTTAAAAAAATGTGAAAAGGATCAGTCTCGGCTACAACAACACCAAATTTTAGGTCAGTATTTGTAAAATTGACTGAATTATAGCTAATTTTGACATTTGAAGGTCAGTTGACTGTGGAAGCCATCTGAAATTGGGTTGAGTCCAAAAGTTAATCAGTTGTAAACCTACATYCAGCRATGACTTTTTGAAAGTTTCATTCAAATTTGTCCATTGGCTCATGAGATATTTTGCTAACAGACAGACACACGAACATGTGCACAGACAGTTTACTGTTTACCAACACCTGTTGGCTTCAGGTGATAAAACAGATCAAATATTACTCTTTGAATGTTTTCTGGAGACACATGTTAAATATCTCATTCTTTCTGTTTCATAAACTAAATTAATAGTTGCTCATAAATCATGGAATACCACTATTGATGCAGTTTGTTGAACGTTTTATGAGCAAAAACTATTGAAAAATGCCAATCTGTTGAGACAAACAAAAGCCTTAATAAATCAAACGTGATCTAAATTTGTGTTTTTGTGAATTGATCACAATTGAATATTTCTGTATTTCTCAGTCATTAAAGGTCAGCAGTGAACAGTGTTTTCACTAAATTTCCTCGTGGCTGTGTTGGATC